ACCCCCCCCCCCCCCAATTGAACCCAGTGCCGGTCCTGTGATTTGGGGGCCCTGAGGCGAAGTTCGAAAATACCCCCCCCAAAATTGTAGTATGCATGAAATGACACAATGTAGCACGTTAAAAAATCCATCATCACAACTTACAATTATGAAATCAAAATTTAAAAGCAACCACAACCAATTAATTGTTGAAGATAAATTTATATTAAAGGCCTGCCACCAAGAACAGATAATTGAAACTGGATGTCGCATGAATATTACCAGTGCAATTAGACAATAGACAACTTAATATCGAAGTTGTAATTTTTTTTGAAGAATAGACAAAGAATTAACATATAACCACGAACTTTATTATTATTATTATTTTGAAGCAGGAAGTTTGTCTTTTTATGTTTCAATTTACTCAAGAAGTGTAACTCCATTAGTTATTTTGACGAACATGGATTAAACATTGCATCAATATCTAACATTCCTCTAGAAACTGGAACAAGAAGTGAACTCCAAATTATAACAACATAAAGTTCGTTGAATAACACAAAATGCTGCTATAAGTTGAGAAAGCAACTGTGTTTATTTACCCCTTAACTATATTACTAACATAATACCGAAGGTTAGGTAACAGCCCCAGTAGTTATCACAACCTTTGCAATTAGTAATTTATATAATGGGAAATGATGGACAACTGAAAACGATGATTGGTCAGAGAATTGGAACATCTTTTGCAAGTAATAAAATAAATTACCTCCAAGAAACGAGCTCGGTTATCACAACTGAAGTAGTCGACATAACATTCTTTCCAGCAACTTCTACAGTTCTACAGTATCACAGACCTCGTCTACTGGGACAGATCAGATATACAAATGAGTAAGTACACAAAGGTAAAACCGTAAAAGAGTGATAATAATTTGAATTTCTGCAACAATGAAAAAAGTAGACAATAGAAAAAAATATATGAAACTCAATCTTATCCCCATTAAAATAAACGACAAATTTCAATAAAATAGCCCTACTCGGCCCACTTGACTACCACTACCAGCTGCTACTTCTGCTTCAAGTAGAAATATGGAAATTGAATTGAAGGGTAAGGGACCAACGGTTTTCTATTCTCACGCTGCTGCTGCCCTTTCAAGGAGTTTGGGAATGATTTGGGTTTGGGGGAACATCAGATTAACACCAATAGACTGGACCAGTTGAATGGATTCAATTTCCTCATTTGGGCCAATATTTTATTATTTATTATTATTATTTTTTAAATAGGCCCAGTCTCGTTCAAGAGAGCCCAAAGAAAATAAATAAAAACTGGCAATAGTCTTCTTCTTCGCTTCTCTTGGCTGTTCGACTGTTCTGGTCTACAACTATGAACTGCCTGCAACATCTCTACAACATCCCGGCGGTTCCGACTGGAAGATTGGAGGCGGAGGTCGAGGAATTGGATCCTCTGTATTTACAAAAAAAAAAAAACTTTGGACCAAAAATAGGGCCCTTAGATTTTTGGCCTGAGGCCTCAGCCTCATTTGCCTCGTAGCAGGACCAGCCCTGTTCACTGCCACCAATGTTCAATTCCCATTTTGACATCCATGTAATATATCTGGTGATGCTGGTTCAGCTACTGTACTGGTAGCAACCAGGCTACAAAATGGTTTTGGGGTAAGGGGTGTGGAGGAATGAGATGGGTGGATAATTTTGGTTTTAAATTTTTTGTTTTTTGATTTACTTATTATAATTCTCTGTGTGTGTGTGTTTTTTTTTAATATATCAATTTATTATTTTATCCTTTTAAAAATTGGTCGAAATATATGAAAGTCCATTATTCTAGTCATCTGACTGTCAACTGAATGGAAATCATCTACTTTTCCTTTTGGTGCAATTACATGAAATGTTGGAGACTATAGATGACACAAATTAAATGTTTGAATAAAGTCGTGCGATAAAATGAAAAGTTCATGACCATGACTTTAATTCTCCCAAGAAAAAATCAACTTTACCTGAAAACATTATGAAGTTCACCGACCACTCGAAGGTATTTAAAACTTAGCAATTAAAGTGAAACAGAAGTATAAGTTCAATGACTAATGAAATATGATAGATGAGTGATGTAGTGCAATATGTTAAAGTTTAATGATCACTTAGAAATATTTTAAGCCCTTGTTTGAGCCCAATTCTTTTTATAAAAATGCATTTTAAATAGTATATTGATGAAAAATGTGTGATTAAAAAATAAAAAAATATTTTGAATTCGCGTGGAATATTATTTTATTGAATAATGTGTGATTGAAATGATGTCAAAATACTGTTAAATAATGTGTTTTTTCAAACGAATGATGATCAAATATGGACTAAGTTTAGTAATTTATGAGAGGGGAAATTAGGCCCAATA